GGATGCTCGGGACCCAAAGCCATGGTCAACACATCATTACTGCCAGTTATACTCAGACTGCCTTCAGCCACTTGTTTTTGCAAGTCATCCTAAAACAAAGACAAAAAAAAAGTCAGCACAAGAAAATACACGACGGTTATTTATAAACAAACGACGCATTATATAATTTCACACGACGGACCAATATAGAAATCGACGTTATAATATCTTTATAACGACGTTAATTAAAACCGACGTGGTTAGTTTCTTAAAACGACGCAATAAATAAACCACCGACGTCTTATGCTGTAATTACAGAAAACAGAGTTGTGATTTCAGATTTAGATATTTCACGACGTTTTTGAAAACATTTCGACGTAGTAATAACATTAACACGACGGAAAACATTAACCACCGACGTCTTATGCTATAATTACAGAAAACAGAGTTGTGATTCCAGATTTATATCTTTCACGACGTTTTTTAAAATATTTCGACGTAGTAAAATCATTCACACGACGGAAAAATATAATATAAGACGTAGTAAGAATTCTACACAGTAATATAAAAATTTAAAACAGAGTGTGTAGGCTTACAATTAATTTTGCTTTCTCTGCCACCTTTGGATCCGGGATGTTACCAAGTTTGTCCTGTCTAGCTTTCTTCCATAAGGTAGATCGATCAATTTCTACCCCAGGCATGGTTTCCTCCAATTGATCCTCCAAACCAGCATATCCTTTTCGAGACAATCGATGATTGTACTCAAGTTTCTCCCTAATCTGTGCATGTTGAGAATGCACAGACTCAAAGTCTTTGGATAACCTTGAAGCTACAAAGGCATCCCATTCTGCTTTCTCTATGAATTTATATACTGCAGGGGGTTGGCTTAATTTCTCCCTCTCATTGATGTATGGAAGGATATAATGCCTCGTCAGTGTAGACTTGAAATCCTTCCATTTCTTGGCAGCAGAAGATAACACCGAGGTCTTGCCCCCTTGACCTACCACAAAAGCCATGTCAACGGCTTCCCAAATCTGCTCCTTTATATCATTGGGGATGTCAGCCCATTTCTTGTCCACAAGTGGGACTCTGGAGCGTGCCAACACACCAATGTAGGACTGCATCTCAGTATGTGCAGGGCCACATCCTTTCCCCCTTTTATTGTACTCAACAACTGGCTTGATTTTCTGCAATTTTCTCTTCACAACACGAGGCATTGTGCTCATACCTCGACCTGACTTTGAATCCTCAGAAATTGTTGTCGTGCTGCTTGGTTCTTTCTCAGCAGATGAAACAAACTTCATCTTCTTCAAGGGCTTGTCTTGAGGAGTTACCATTCCAAGCTCCTTACCTCCATTTTTTTTGGAGCCAGAGTACTTACTTTGGTCTTGAGAAACCATGGTTACAGAATAAACAAACCTGCAAGTGAAAATATTTCGTGAAAAAAATTAGAACACAAACGACGGTTATTTATAAACTACGACGTATGATAAGATTTTACACGACGTAATAACATAACATCAGACGTAATAAATGATTAAAGAAGAACAATATAAATGTTTAAACAACGACGAAAAATATTAAATAAGACGTAATAAGAACTTATTACGTCGATATTTACACGACGTCGTGATATTCATATTGACACGGCGTAAATATTAATATAACGTCGTGTTATGTATATTCACACGACGTGAATAATAAGCTACCGTCGTATTTATAAGAAACCAAAAACATTTTTCTTTCTTTGTGAATGTTTGATTGTAGGTTTCATTTCTCTGAAACATGGTTTTTGTTTTTCCTAATTTGATAAAATACAAAGAAAAAAAGCTTTCTCATCTTTTTATAGACGACGGTATCTTATTATAACGTCGTGGTATGAACATTCACACGGCGTCAATAATAAGATACCGTCGTCTATATAAGATACCAAACCCTACTTTCTTTGTCTCTGTATTTTATCATATTAGGAAAAACGAAAACCATGGTTCAGAGAAATCAAACCTGCAACTAAACAAGCAAATAAAAAATTGAATGTCATTTTAAAAACAACTTAGATCAATTTTAAGACGACGCTAGGACGACTGACGAACCGTCGTGGTCTACGTATTTAACCACGTAAATAAAAAGCTACCGTCGTCTTATTTAGTTGAGTTAGTTATGTTCAAAGTTCAATCTTTCCCTCTCTGTCTGTGTATTTTATCAAACTTGGAAACAAAAAAATGATTTTCGCCAGAAAAAAGGTAAAAAGATTTTCAAAACAAAACAGTATGAGCATGCAATATAGCAACAAAAATAGTGAGAAATGAAAGCTTACCTTTTGCGTGCAATGAAAGCTTTCTCTCGGATTTTGGTGTTTAAGTTCAGAGGCGACGATGAAGACAAGAGGAAGACGATGAGATACTCTGACAGTGCTCTGACAAGGAAAAAAGACGAAAAGTTTTCTCTGGGAGATTGAAATGTTTTCTCGGGTTTGGAAACAGTGCATGTGTAAGTCAGGTAGACGAAAAGTTGTATATGTATACAAACCGTTTCATAGTAATAAGACGGCGGTTTACATAGAACGACGACGTATTAATAGACAAACTACGACGCTAATTTGAACTTATGACGTGGTACATAAATACGACCGTAGTGTTGTAGGTACCGCCGTAGTAAACTCCTAAATAAAAGTCGATAACTCAATATCTCGCGTCATGGTAGAAATATTTAACACGACGGTTGTTTTAAAGTTACGACGTTTATTTTTATAATATACGTCGTTTTATTGTAATATACCGACGTGGATAACACTAAACTAAAACGACGTATTATTTTTCCGACGACGTGGATTCGTTTTTAAACGTCGTTATGTGTAATATAACCGACGTGGATTTTATTTTTTTATTATAAATATAATTCTTTTCCCCTTTTTCTTATAGTGTATTTTTCAAAAACAGTGCCTTATAGATATAGTTTTTTTTCCCGAGGAAATTAATGTTCTAGAATTTGTAAAGTTTCTTTTCTAGGTGACTGATTTAAATCAAATAAAAATATAAAACAACGACTGTTTTTGTTATACCGTCGTCGTTTCTTGTCGTTTTAAGTAAGAATAAAACGACGTAATATATTTGTTACCGACGAGAATTGTTTTTTTTAAACGTCGTTATGTGTAATATAACCGACGTGGATTTGGTTTTTTAATTATAAATAGGGTTTTTTTCCACGGGTTCTTTCAGTTTTAGTATTCGATTAGGGTTTCAACTTCTTCTTGCCCCTTTCTCTGTCTCACCTCATCTCTTGGGAAGTTTTAGGAGTCAATTGTTTGGATGTGAATGTGTGTGTGCGTTTGTGTAGATACACAAACGCACATACATCATTCACTTCCAAAAAATTGTCTCTCTGATTGCAAATCTGTGGCTGCCGTCATGAAATTTTAGGAGGCAATTGTTTGGATGTGAATGTGTGTGTGCGTTTGTGTAGATACACAAACGCACACACATCATTCACTTCCAAAAAATTGTCTCTCTGATTGCAAATCTGTGGCTGCCGTCGTGAAATTTTAGGAGGCAATTGTTTGGATGTTGATGTGTGCGTGCGTTTGTGTAGATACACAAACGCACACATATCATCAACTTCCAAAAAATTGTCTCTCTGATTGCAAATCTGAGGCTGCCGTCGTCAAATTTCAGAGGCAATTTTTTGGATGTTAATGTGTATGTGCGTTTGTGTATCTCAAAGACACAAATACACATACATCATTAACCTCTAAAATATTGTCTTTCTGGTAAGATTATAATGAGCAACAGATCTGGAGTTCCATCTTGTAAGATTTCCTAACCCTTGTGATCTCAGAATAATCTGATTATGTCGGCGGTTTTCTATATAAACCGTCGTGGTTATTTCAATTCTTGTCGTTAGGTAGATCTACCGACGTAGGATAACAAAATCGAAGAAATAAATTTTAAAAAAAATTCTTATTCAGACGACGGTTTAAATATAATTTATGACGTATAAAGTGGACAAATACGACGTTAAATTCTATAATACGTCGTTATATGAAAACCCCAACTTGGTAAGATTGAAAGATGTCGTCGTAGAAATACGAGAAAGACGTCGTTATATTTACCTTTGCCGTAGTTGTACATTAATTTAATACGGCGGTATTTTGTATTTTACCGCCGTGGATTTATTTGTAATTTTACGTCGCCTTATACGAAAACTTGGTCGTGTTAATTTCTGGGTAAAAACGACGGCTTTTTTTGAAACCGTCGTCTTTACTTTCTACGTCGGTCGGTTCATAACTTCCGCCGTTATTTGTTGGCTATGATTTTACCTCATGAAAATCCTATTTCAATAAGACGTCGGTTTTTAAATTAAGTACGTCGTGTTTTTGGAACAGCCATTTGAAACTCCATTTTTTAGTTGTCTAATGTGTTATTACACGGCGGTTTTATAAAACCGTCGTCTTTTAAAAAACAACGACGGTTTTCACGTAGACCGTCGTGTTTTTGTGGTCGTCTTTTTCACTTTTTGTAGTAGTGATACCAGTGGTACTAAGCTCAAGAGAAAAGGCACTGTCACATGTACCAAGTGTTGGAAAAAGGCCACAACAAAAGGAATTGCTCTAATCAGCCCCAAGACCCTCCACCTAGAACCTATATATTGATAAAAGATGGGGACTTCCAACTTCTTTGAAGAAAAGGAGAAGTAATGGTGCTACAGATGTGCCCTTCTTTTCTCCTATGCCAACTCAAGAAAATGTGCACACCACTCTGATGCAAAGACAAAAGCTTCCTGGAAGTGTTTTCATTTTTCCTAATATATATTTATATGTAAATATATATATATTATATATATTTTGTGTGGCTATGCAGATTAGGAAAGGTTATGTAAATGCTCCAAATGCACCAAGGCCAACTCCTCTTATGCCCACTCCAAGACCAACTCCTCTATTTATACCCACTCCAAGGCCTATTCCTAATATGCAAATTGGAAGTTTAAGCTCTGTGAATCAAAAACAAATTAGAGGTGCAAGATCAATGAATACAAGACCAACTCTTAATATGCAAATGGGAGGTGCAAGTTCTGTGAATCCAAGGCATATGGGAGTTAGCACTAGGCCTCCATTATCGAGGCAAATGGGAGGTTCAAGTGCCCGATGGAACCCACCAGGAAAAGCAACAAACAAGAAAAATTGCAAGTGAATTGAAATTGCTTATTTTGGTTGTTGGCCAATTTTTTGTGAACTGAAGGTGGCCTTTACTTTCTGACATAGTTTAATAGTTTCTTGTTGTTGGCCAATATTTTGTGAACTTTATTCTTTTGTTATAACTGTAACAGGCTTTGAATTCTTCTTTTGTTATCATACATACTTTTTTTGCTGCAAGTGTTTTGGGTATAATGCAATCAGATTTGACTAAAAAAACACTCAAATGTTCATTGTGAAATAGTAATTAGATTTAACAATCATAATAGAAAGATACTAAATTCTTGGTTTAACGTGGGGTAGAGACAAGCTTTTACGTGGGGCTTTGGAGTGACAAAATTGCCCCTCCACGTGGTTACTCTGTTAAAGAAATTAACAGAAATTTTAAAGTGTCCTTGAATTGCTTCAAATATAAAACTATAGGGTCAAAAGTGATGAAATTGAAACTATAGGGTTAAAAGTGGTTTAAGTGCCAAATTATAGGGACCAAAAGTGACTTTTGGTCTTTTTAAAAACCGAACTTTGAAATATTTACGGTTATGCCACTGAGCTTCCGTAGATCATAACTTCTTCGTTACAACTCCGATTTGAGCCCACTACGTGTCTACGGACTCATCTTGACGTGCTTTACACAACGGTACAACTGAAATTCCCAAATTCTTTCCCAAACAAAAAATCAATTTTAAACCCATTAAAATATTCTCGGGGTAAAATTGTCTTTTACTTGAATAAATTAATAACTAAATATTAATTTAGGTTTGGATTATTACAGTTCATAACTTGTCAAGAACCTGCAGTTCTGGCATAACATATATAACATTTTAATTGAACCTGAAGTGTAGAATCAAATTTTTTTTTTAATTATATCTTTATAATATTTTCCACAATAGAATCAATTTGTAACCAAATTGTAACTGGAACTTTCTACTTCCTTGATTCTTAGTTTTTATTATTCTTATATTTAATTTGAACATGTAGTTCAACGCACAAGTATTAATTCATTTTAACTGGATCCATATACTTGAACCTGAAGCTTCAAATATATTTTAAAATGGACCAAAAGTTCATTACAATTTATGGATCTTTATTTTAATATAAATGTGAAGTTCATAATGTTTCATATTGAACCTGAAGTTCATTGGATCTTTATGATTGCCAAAACGTGTAGTTTTATATATATAAAATATACTATCAAGAACCTGAAGTTGTGTCCACTAATTTACAAAAGATTTACATAGAACTTGTAGTTCTATATATGCAAGATGACTTTGTAAGAACTCGAACTTCTGTACACAAAATGTTTACATAAAATTTAAAGATTTATAATGTTTGATATAACTATTAAAGAAATTATAATATCAAGGGGAACCTGAAGTTTCTTGGTTACACATGTCCATTCAAAATGAACCAGAAGTTCAAGTCATTTTAAGAGTTTTAAGTAAAGTCTTTGAAAAGCTAAACTTTTAGAAATTGAGAGGAAATGAAGTTGAATCACAGTTACTCCAATCAGGCATTACAAAGACTATATATATATATATATATATATAAAGGCAAAAATGTGGTAACATTTCTAGAATCCCAATATTTCCCTTTTTCAAAATTTAAACTTCACGATGTCTTCATTAAAGTATGTTGGCAGTTTAGGAGTTGTAAGGACAATTTTGTCAAACAAATATTATCCTTACAGATTTCATGGAGTCAGTTTTTCAAACGTGTCTCACGATTCGTAAAAGTTTTTGTGGTTAATTTGGACCACACTTGAACAAATTAGAGAAGCCTATTGATGAGGAAATCATGTATTCCCTTATGGACAATCAATCGAATCTACAACTTTGGTGCAGGGTTTGGGTGCTTCTCACACACAGGGGACTGACCTGCAGTATGTACACACTGGGCTATAGCCCAGTCGAGTGTTTTTCTTCTCTTATTGTTAGTATAAAAGACATATACTAAATAAGCTACAATGTGAGTTGTGCGTTCTCAATTAATGTTAATTTTTAAGCATATATAATCAATTGTTGCTGACATTGTTGGTGTAAAATTGGACTCTTTAAATAAATAAAATAAAAATGATTTGTTCTTAAATTAAATTTATCTATATATATAAAGCAAAAAACAGAGGATGGTGAAACATTCAAATTATTAATTAAATGAGGATAATATGGTAAATTCACACTTTTCATGGTAAAAAAAAATTAAATTAAAAGAATAATCAGATAATGGATCCTACTTTTATGGAACACAACTATCCATTATCATTTTTAATTCTAAAATAAATTTAATTTTTTTTTATAAAAAAAGCCTCTCACATGTGTGAAAATGTGTGCGGAGAGGCTAGTATAATATTATGATCAATTTCATAAGCCTCCCTATAAGGTCTACCCAAACCTAAAATCTAGCGCACCCCATTTTGAAATCCTGGGCCCGTCCCTACTCACACACACATATATATATATATATATTTATGTATGTATGTTGTATAAAGATTGTATAAAGGAAAGGCTATAGGTTCCCAGAGCGAGTGAGCTATTGGATTCTTTAGTGGCAAATCTGATTCTAATAATTTCGACGGCTTTTTTTGGATCTATCCATTAGAGTTTTATTATTGGTGTTTTGCTGACCTTAGAACAATTTAATTAAGAGCAGTGCCCCAGATATTGGTTTGCATGCAGTCAAAGGGTGACGTTAATGAAGTTAGGTTCTGTACATATTATATATGGCCAGATATATATTAGTTCTTAATTAATAACGACTTTGCAAAATCAAGCCAATAGGATATTTATATATTTACTATATCCTATTGGATTTTGTTTTTGTTTTTTTTGTTTTGTAGTTATTTGGTTATTAACAAAGAAAATATTCAAACAAACATTTTTCTTTTAGGAACTTCGAGATTATGGGTAGAGATTTTATTAATATCAATCATCCTCCCTACGTCAGGCCAAAACAAAAAAAAATTATAAAAAAAAATCACCCTCCCTACACGTGTACACAAACTTGTTTTGTAGGCAAATTTTGACTGGAATTTGTATACTATTATAGAGGAGATAATTCATAAATTATTTTATGTGTATTATAAATAGATGGAATGTGGATGACCACCATTACATTCATTACTTTCACTTTTTGATATTGTTGAGGCCCAAAAAGTCACAAGAAGCCCAAAGACATTTAAAGCCCAATATAAAATATAATGTTGATCATGCGTTAATTTAAGCTGTATTTTGGGAATTAATTTATTAAATAAATATAGAAATAGTGTGCATGTCATGCCAATAATACATTTTTCCTATGTCAATCACCAACCAAGCTCATATGAACCCAAGTCATGTGGTTTACAGGGCTTGCACGAGGGATTGTGGCGTGGAAGGTTATGGAGGTTCGCAAGTCCCACAGAAGCTCTTAGATAATGGAGACTTTGGGCTAGCTATTTGGGAGCACCAAAGTCCAAGCCCATTGCTTGGAGTTCTCCAGTGTGGGTGAGCAAATGAGATATCCTTCAAGCACTCCCTATTATCCTTTGGGAACAAGCCAATTCCGACACCTCCTTTTACTTATAGGAAATAGTCATTTTCCAATGCCTAGTTTTATCTGCTGGAAATAAGAATGTCCCAATGCACCCTTTTACCCGTTGGAAATAGACTACCTCCAACACTTCCTTTTACTCATTAGAAACCAAAGAGAGCCTTCACCTTCTATAAATTGGAAGGCATTGCCCAGGCAAAACCAACTCCTCTTGGTTGCTGCAAGCCTCTCAACAACCCTAAGAACTCACCCTTTCTTCAGCTACTGCAAGCATTCCAGCAGCCATCACAGTCATTCCTGAGCCATCAACCTTTATCCTTTGATTGCTGCAAGCACTCTAGCAATCATCAGACCATCTTTCTTCCTCCCTTCGGCTACTGCAAGCATTTCAGCAACCATTCCTCAGCTATCACAACCATTTCTTCTACTTTCTTAGCCTTGAAATCCTCTATCTTCCATATAAAGCCTTACCAAACATAACTCTAAGCTTTTCCTTTCTCTTCATACCCTTCCAAGCTATAAACACCATAGCCTTCAAGCCTCAAGCTTTTCCTTCCATCATCCTTCTCTTGAAACTCTTAAATCACCACATCCATAGCCACAAACAACAAGTTCTCAACACCCAAACTCAAGCCTATCCACACCAAGCCAAGCACATGCATTCTCATTTGCTAAACTTGTGGGTCTTTAGCTCCCATACTCCGAGCTCTCATGCCAGGCTCGTACAATCTCGGTTCAATATCATGAAGTCATCTTCAACCATGCAAAAGCAAGACCAAGCATTTGTTAAGCTACTGGAAATCTACTCAAGCCACCCATCCTTTATATCCAAAAAGCTTCATCCCAAATCTGAAACACCCATCCTCTCAAGCTTTGAAACCATAGTCATTACCTTTTTGGTAAGAAAACGCAGACATCACAAGCTCTTTGCCAAGTTGCCGAAAACACCCAAAATCTCAAGCCTTAATCATTTCTTCATGCTCATTTTCTCTTAGCTCTCACGCCACAAGCCTCTCAAGCCAAGCCTATACAACATCAATGCACCATCTCCAACTCTTTGTCTAGCTATCGAAAACATCAGCACAAAACACGCAGCCACTGGAAGAAGAACAAAGTACTCCCCTGGGGCTTACTTCTCCCTCGGGATGTTTTTGGCCTAGTTCTCGCTAACTCAGAAAAAAGGGGCAACGAAGGCTTGATTCACCACTCTATGGCGGTCCAAGAATCAACAAGGCCGGATGAGCCTTTCGACGGAAAAAGACCCCAACATAAATGGTGACTTTGCTGGGGACTAGGCCATTAGTCTTGTAGTGGCTCTTGAAAAATCACAAGTTTTAAAATTAGTATTCATGCAACTGCACTACAACAAAATTTAAAGATAAGAGCATTCTCTTCGATTTTGCTTTGTTAAGCTGTTCTTAAAAAATATATATATTTAAAATAAAAAAAAGATGCAAAAGCATTTCTAATATTTTTTTCTTATGTTATAGATATATCTATTCAGACAAAACATCTTTGGAAAGGCCCATGAGGGCTTAGGCAAATCCAT